TCCTTGGAAAGACCCACAGCCAGAGAAGGGCCCATGAGACTTGGTAAAGTGAAGAGCCAGGAAACGAGGGAAACACCCCGAATGGTGTGGATTGGCACAGTCCCCTCAGCAGTGGGCCCAGACGTGGAGGTGTGTTGGCCTGGAGCGGCTTCCCTCTGATGGTCCTTATGTCCCGAGTCAGAGCCTCGAACAAGGGACCCGTAGCAGCTGTCCAGGGTGGAATTATTGTTCCTTTTGAAAGTGTCTGCACCCAGTCTAGAATGGAGGCTCTCCTGCACCCAGCCTTCCCTTTCAACCATTGGTTCTTCCAGCTGACCAGCGCAAAGCGCCCCCCTCCCCACCATTAAATCTCTTCAGCCTGCAGTGTGACATTGAGAGTTAACCTCCCGATGTTCATGTTAAATGCTCACGTGTGAGCTGCCTGGCCTGTGAACACTGCACACGTCTCCCACTGTTTCCACCCGGCACCTCTTGGGAATGGAGGGCAGGGCCCTCAGGAGACCCATCGCCTATCCCCGATGTCTGCAACGCAGGCAGTCGTCAATGGCCTTTCCATTTTTAAGTGGCTGGTTTTACTCCAGATTAAAAAAAACAGCCAAACTTTCCTCTTCCTTCCAACAGGTCCTGGAGGTCCCAGTGTCAGATAATTTTATCTGGCGCATTCCCTTAGTAATCTTTTATTTTAGCTCCAATAGCGGGGAGTTCCCATTTGAGTGAATGGATTACATAGGCGGGGCTATGCGGGCCCTAGAAAATCAAGTGTCCTGGAGAGGCCGCTTGTCCAGCAGAGGGAAGTTAACATGGCCTGCACTGGGCACCCTGGAGCATGGCTCCTAAGGATTGTCCGCTCTGGCAGATCTGTCCAGGCGCGGGGGTAGGGAAACCAGGCGGCAAGTTCTCAGATAGATGCCTAGGCTCAGCTGCTGCCAGAGAGGCTAGAGATCCGAAGCTACCTGGAGAAGGTAGCTGGAGGACACTGGGTTGACATAATAAGGGCTTACGTGTGGGTCAAGGAGCTCTGGGGTGTGGTGGTTACACTGTAGGCTGCGATCTTCAAGGTCAGCAGTTTGAAACTGCCAGGGACTCCTCTGGAGGAAGATGGGGTCTTCTCACTCCTGTCCAGGGTCTAGGAAACTCTCAGGGGCACCGACACCCTGTCCTACAGGCTCCTACGAGTCAGCACGGCTCCACAGCAGTGAGTTTCCCACTGTGGTCAGTCACCTGACCGGACCCATGCACCCAGAGGGACTGAGTGCCAAGAGTTGAGGCCGCAGGATTCCACAGAGGACTCGCAGTGAAGGACATCATGGGCGAGGCCAGTGAATCTTGGCCCAGAGCAAAGAACTTCAGGAAGTTATTTAGTACCTGCATTTTATCAACATAACAAAGCCGTTGGCTATCTGTCTGGATCGCTGCAAATTAGGGCCAACATTGGGAAGGATGGGAATTCCAGGAAGCCGTTCCTCAGCAGCCAGCCTTTGTCCTTGGCTCTGGGACTATTTCCCTGAGCACACTTTTGCACTCCCCACCCCCTCTCCCCAAGCCCCGAGCCTGGACTTCTGGAGGCAGGTGGGGCAAGATGGAGTGGCGATAGGGCTGGGACCAAAATGATCAAGGAAAACCGGCTCAGCCTCTGGGAGAGGTCAAAACGATCCTCAGCAAGGGCTTTACTTCCTCTTCGTTTTCACCGTAAAAGAGACCTCCCTCCTTCCCCCCACCTGGTTGTCTCTATAGTAGGGCTTTTTGTTTTTCCCAACCGGCTCGGCCTCTGGGAGAGGTCAAAACGATCCTCAGCAAGGGCTTTACTTCCTCTTCGTTTTCACCGTAAAAGAGACCTCCCTCCTTCCCCCCACCTGGTTGTCTCTATAGTAGGGCTTTTTGTTTTTCCCCCTAGAGGACCGTTAATGAAAACCAAACCCACTGCCTTACATCACTTCGGACATCTAGAAACCGGGAATCGCTCCGGAATCAGACGGCCCATCCTTCTCCCACCAAGTAGCTTGTGGCTTGATTAGCATCCCATAAGCCCAATCCACAGCACCACCTGGTCCCCTTAGAGAAGCAGGCCTGCTTAAAAAACAGTGTTACCTTGAGGAAGGATGGTATGATTTACATACTATTTTCAAATCTGTTTCTATTTTAAAAACCATTATCTTGTGTCTTCAAAACAAAAAAACTCCACCAACAAACCAAATTCCCTGCCATTGAATCACATTTGCCTCACAGCCACCCTGTCGATGGAAATTAAAGCTCTGCCATCACTCAGTTCTGACGCAGAGGGACCTCGCCTTATAGGACAGAGTCTTACTGCCCCTCTGGGTCTCAGAGACGAACGCTTTCCAGGAGAACCTCCATATTCTCCTGGGGAGCACATGGTGGCTTTGAACCACTGGCCTTGCGATTAGCAGCCTACTTCCTTGTAGCACATCCTCTGCCCATCCAACAATTCCTGCACAAATTGTGACGTGGGTTGCCGTGACATCTGTTGCTATGCGCTGCACTCTTCCATACACTCACTACCCACGCTCCTTTTGCCTTCTCTTTGCGGGGGCACAGGTCCCCTCTCAGGGCCCGGGAGTGGATTGTCTTTGTTGCTGTGTTGGTTCACCGCCACTGGGGTACCTGCCTGGGAGTGGCTTCAGTTCCAGGATAAAGGGTGTCCCAGTGTCAGGGGAGTGGTCTTGGGGTTCTTCCCGTCTTGGGCAGCCCAGCAAGTCTGTCTTTTTCGCGAGGACTTTGATCTGCAGGGTTGCTTCATCCTTCAGCAGCTCAGGCCTGTAGGGTCCCAGGTTATCAAAAAGGACCCGGGCATGGTGTCCAAAGAGGTTTCAAGGCAGCTGTCCATCTCCTCAAAAGATGAGTGGGTCCAAGCATCCTTATCTTTGCAGTTGATAAGGCTGGACTAGAGACCCAGGCTCCCTCCACATCTACCCATCCAATCTGGCCCTGTGCAATTCAGGCCCAATTAAGCCTTCCTTGAGCCCAGCCCCCTCTGCCTCCAGGGGCTGGGGCTCTGGGCTGGGTGGGAGGTGAAGGTTGAGCATTCCAGGGTGGGGCTGGGTTGTGAAAGGAGACTGGGAGAAGGGACTCTGCTTAGGGGCAGACCCTGGAGAGACCCTGGGGAGGGGCTGTGGTCCAGGTCTGCTGCACTAGCCCTGTTAATTAGACCTTAGACTTTGTCTGCCTTCCTGGTAGCGTCAAGGCTCCCCCCCTAGGGCCCTTTCACTGTGGATCCTGGCCCGGGCTCCCCAGAGGGCCAGGCAGAGATCAGGGCTGGGGCAGGTGTTGTGGGAGGAAGTCTGCCTCACACTGCTCAGGCATAGGTCACAGGTGTGCACTGGGAAGCAGCTCAGAGCAAGCTCTGCCTTTGCCAGGGGAGCATCAGCCCCAGTTATGTTTGGATTACATTGGAGCTGAGGAGGGCGAAGATGCTTTAGGATCAGGGAAGCACTTTCAGAAATGGTTCTTGGGAGAGATAGAAGTCCCCAGTGCCACAGGGATTCACCTCACTGTTACTGAGTCATTCCAACTCACAGTGACCCCGTAGGACAGGGTGGGTCTGCTCCTGTGCCTTTCCAAGGCTGTACCTCCTTAGAAAGCCTCCATTTTCTCTCCAGGAGTGGCTGGTGGTTTTGAACTGCTGACCTTGCGGTTGGTAGCCCAGTGCTAAACCACTACTCCACCAGGGCTCCACGTAAAGTGGACTCACAGCGATTCCCGTGTGGGGTTTCTGAAGCTGTGAATCGTCCCGAGTGCAGAGGCCAGCACTGAACCCACAGGGCCACCAAATGGGAAAGATCTTTCAGCTCCCAAAGACAAATTGCCCAGGGTCCTGGCTCTGGTGTAGGCCTCTAGGTGTGTAGGCGGTTGGTCTCCTGTACATCGGAGATCAACTGCAGAACTGAAACAGCCAGGTTGCCAAACACCTGTCTTTACCTACCAAGGGGACACAGTCTCTAAAGACAAGGAGCTTAGAAAAAAAAAAAGAAAGAAAGGGAAAAGGTGATTGCATCACCTCCGGCCGAAAACTCTGGTGGTGGTTTTTCTTGCCAAATGGAGCCTTTTGTCTGAGCTTGAGCTCTGGTATTGCCAAAGTAGGTGAATATCTGCGTTTCTTCGTGGCCCAGGGAGAGGAAGGTAAAGAGAAAGGAAGGGGCTGGGGATTGACTTCTAGTTCAATGTAATCAGCCAGGGTTAGGAGAACCACAAGGGACCAAGACCGATTCGATTCTAAGTCCTGCGTTTTCGCCGTGAATGATGTAAACCGGAGGCACGTGGCTGTAATGTGAAAGAAAAGAAAGAGATCGATGCCCACCAGTTTAAACATAACTAGACTTGATTTTTGTCTAGTTTGACATTGGCAGCACTTTGAGTGGGAAGGGGGATATCTTTTTAAAATCTTAGCCTCTTATGCCTGGTAAATCGTAATTGTATAAGCTCTGCTGCAGAACTGGTGTAAATTTGCCCAGGTAGAGACTCAGCCTCACTCGGAGGGTTTGAGAGGCACGTGGTCCAGTTGGTTAGGCCCCCAGTGGAGCAAGAGCTGAGCAGGAGGAGAAGTGGACCTGGTTTTCTGGGGAGCCCAGGCAGAAGGGAAGGCATCTCTCCAGGAGGTCTGGAGAGAGGACAGGCAGTGACCAGAGGAGAGAAGTCCCCCCTGACAGTGGTGGCACCACCCCACCAGAGTGCCACTCTGCCCAGTTCTGCGCAGGTCCCAGCAGTGTGATCCCCATAGCGGTTTCCTGGGCTGGGCTTCACAAGCCGGTCTCCGGGTCTTTCTTCCCAGTGCATCTTAGTCTGGAAGCCCTGTGGAAACATGGCGAGCCCCACAGCAGCAGCTGGCAAGCCACCAGTGGCCCGTTGTTGGTGGCTCTGCCGGCGCTACGTTGGCCAAGAATTGAAACCCCTTCTCCTGCATGCAGCCTAGCCACGATGCCCCCTTCTCCACACCTTGCCCACAAAGAGCCAGGTACTGACAGCCTTGTTTCTGCAGACACTGTACCAGCCAGCATGGAGGAGCCTGAGGCGGAGAGCACTCTGAACCCCAGCTGTAAGATCATGACCTTCAGACCTACCATGGAGCAGTTCCAGGACTTCAACAAATACCTTGCCTTCATGGAGTCCAAAGGAGCCCACCGAGCAGGCCTGGCCAAGGTGATTTTCTTCAGCTCTTGTAGCCCCGCCCCACCCCAAATGACTGCCCTGCCTTTAAACCGTTCTCTTTGGTGGTAGGGTGCAGATAATTATTTTGTTCAAAGGAAGAGAAAAGCAACTGTAACAATGGCAATGGGCCCAGGTCTGATGTTCATGGGAGGGAAGGGAAATCAGCCCCAGGCCTATGCCTATGCCTGCCAGCCCAGCCTTTCGCCCCTGGGGTCTGCTTCTCTGCTCCGTGTTCTTGGTGAATCGTTTGTACTGTCCAATCGCTCCCGCATCACACAATTCAGTAGTTCAGTCACCGTCAGAATTGCCGGGCACTCAGCACCACAGTGGATTTCAGAACATTTTCTTCTGTCAGGTACTCAGTGTTGCTCTCCATCTAACGACACAGCCCTTTCAGTCCATCTACAGACAACACCCCCTAAGCGGGAAGGAACCTTGTGGAGGCTGCAGACTCATGGTCCCTCCCGCAACATCTGCCAAATCTTGCCTTCAGGCCTGTTGGGTTAGGAGAGCAGAGAGACTCCCTGGACTGGTTCAGGACTACCCTTCCCACGATTGCTCCTTTCCAGGTGATCCCTCCTCAGGGCTGGAAACCCAGGAAGTCCTATGACGACATCGGTGACTTGCTGATCCCGGCTCCCATCCAGCAGATGGTGACAGGCCAGTCGGGACTCTTCACCCAGTATAATATCCAGAAGAAAGCCATGACTGTGAAGGAGTTCCGGCAGCTGGCCAACAGTGGCAAGTGGGTGGTGCCCCTTTGTTGGTTTCCTTTCTGTCACAGTTGTGTGTGAACATGATAAAAAGGCAGGGTGACACCAGAGTTGGTGATCCAGGCAGGTGACCCCCGCCACCCTACCCCACCTTCATTGGCTTCCATCCTTCAGGTGATGGGCCTGCATCCATTCACTTCACCACTAGGGGAGGTGTTTCCTATTGGCCCATTCCTGGTCTCTGCAAACACATTTCTGTGTATGTTTTCATTCTCATGGAGTTTTGATTCTACGTTATGTAGAGAGGAAGGTAAAGGATGATTTTAATTTTCAAAATTTGGGAAGCCATATAAAAGAGGTCTCCTCCAATACATTAGGTATTTATCAATATAGTAATTGAAAAGGATCTTATTTTGCTTTTACTTTCTTAGGATTGTTAGTAAAATTGTCTCTAAACCTATAAATATCTTGATATAGTCTAATCGGTTACTGGTTTTTAAAAATCCTCATTTTCAGAGGTAAAATAATGAACTTTGAAACTAGCTTTCTGCTTTTGTTGATGCCTACAGCTTGGAAATCTCTTCCTCCTGAATAAAAACTGCAGCGCTCTCAGCCACAGCCATTTAGTGAGAGTATTTGTGCCAACTATGTATAGTTACTGCAAACCAGGAGTGTTTATAGGACGATTTGCATTAAAAAAATAGGACTGGGGTTAGGGAGCATTGTCAGCCAGATGGGCAGGGAATGTCTTCACATGGTCTCATTGCCTTTGTGTTTTATTTTTATCTCGTTCCTCTAGGTACTGTACCCCGAGATTCGCGGACTATGAAGATTTGGAGCGCAAGTACTGGAAGAACCTAACCTTTGTGGCGCCCATCTATGGCGCCGACATTAACGGAAGCATATATGACGAGGTAAGCTTGTGACAGTTCTGTAACATGCCTGGATGTTGCTCCCCTTACGCCACTTGCAGACAGTATTAGAAGTCCGTCACCTCTTGTCCTTTGGGCGTCTGCTCTCCCCCAGGGAGAAGTGGAAATCCAGACTTGTCAGCAGGATTGCAGCTTTGTAGTACATACATGTTTATGTGCATAGGGTCCCTGGATACCCTGGTGCCCACAAGGGCAGCAGTTCGAAACCACCAGCAGCTCCCTGGGAGAAAGATGAGGTGGTCTACTCCTGTAAATTACTCTCCATCATCCAAGCCTTCAGTTTGGGGCCGGCTCAGAACCACCAGCTACTCTCTGGGAGCAAGTTGAGGCTTTCTGCCATCATAAAGGTTTATAGTCTCAGAAACCCACAGGGCAGTCAGTTCTCCACTGTCCAAGGAGGTAGGAGGGACTCACTGGAGTTTGGCTCTTTGGAGTTTCACCACGGGTGCTGAAATACCTTCATCCACCAGAGGGCGGGCTTGGGCAACAAATGCATCTGAGATGGTAGGCTTCCGAGTGCAGGTGAAGCAGTTTAAACGGAATCACCTGGAGAATGCCTTTCCATTTTTAGATCGTGCCAGGGCATTATTCACCTGGAATAAATAATTGGAATGCTCTCCACACCCAAGGCAAAATGCCATCATCCTAGACCTGTTAGGGTGAAGGGTGAGTTCTCGTTCTGCAGGATGAGCTGCTGGCGAGCGAGCGAGAACTTATCCTTACCTGTCCGTAGGGGAGGGCAGTCTCAGGGCGGATCCTTGCAGACACAGCTTTCTGGAGTGCGGGCCCAGGTGGGGGGGTCGCCATACTCTAATGCACTGTGACCTGCATTAGAATGCCCCACCAGATCTGGGACATGGGTCACCATGCTGCTCATCCGGGATGCTGAGGGGTGGGGATTGGCCATCGAAATTAATTTCAGATGTTGATTATTAACCCCTCACCTGACCCCAGCTATAGAGCAGCCTGGGGAAAGCCAGGAGGCTGTTAGGGCCCACCCCCTTCCCAGCCCTGCAGTGCCTCCTCAGAGCTCGTTGGGCTTATTGGGCTGCTGGAGACGGGGTGAGGCCATGGACCCAGGCTGCTAGTTATAGCCTGTGGAAGTGGGATTTTAAAAAGGACGACATCATTAAAATGATATCAACAGCGTTCTCGTGCTTAGTGGCTTATGCGTGAGAGACTTGGGCGCACGCGTAGAAATAAATGCTTGGTTTCCATTCTCTTCATGTTCTATAGTGAGTTCACAATCTAGAAGATTGCTCACGTTAATTTTTTCTTTTCCTTACAAATCAGTAATAGCTCTGTGCCCGGAGAGGAGTGTCAGCGGGAGCCTGGCAACACCTGAGCCTGTTCTTCTTCGTGCAGAACGACAGACATGGGGGCTCAGGAGAACCAGCGTCTGCCCAGTGCTAGGGCAGCATGTCTGAAATCTGGACTTGCTTGAAAGGAGACGTAGCCAGAGCAGAGAAGTGAAGCAAGGTGGGAGGGATGGGGAAAGTGCAGAGAGGCCCTGGCCAGACTCGGGAGAGCCAGCTGCAATTCTTGATCAGAATTTTGAATTTCCATTTCCTGAAGAGGCTAAAAAGCTCAAGGTCAGCCGGTGCTTGGGCTCCCTTGAAAAGCTACGTCTTTAATAGGACCGTCGGTGGCCTTGATATGCTACTTCTTTATTGATTTGGATCCCCCTGACTTACCTGGGCTTCTGAGACTAACTGTTTATGGGAGTAGAAAGCCCAGCCTTTCTCCCTTGGAGTTGCTGGTGCTTTTGAACTGCCAGTCATGCGGATGGCAGCCCAATTTGTAACCACTACACCACCAGGGCACCCTTAGTAATGGAGGAGAAAATAGACACGAGGTATGCAGGCAGCTGGCCAGCTCTGCTGCAGAAGTTTCTGACGAGGCACAGGGACTGTTTGTACCTCAGGGTAATACAGGTCCCAGAATTGAAGGTGAGAAATGGCTTAGTAGTCCAGGACATATGAATGCCTTGGTCGAGGTTGGTGTGTTTTTAATCATCTGTGTCTGAGCCCGGGCTTTATTAAATGCTGAGGTAAGTACTCCTCTCTATGGGCCGGGAGCTTCACATGGTTTCCCGTTTCATCGAGGGGCCAGGTGGGTGAGAAGCAGACTTCAATTTCTTCCCATCGCCCTGTGCTTATCCCGGGAGCTCACGTCCCGCACTTGACCCCAAGTCAGTTTGACTGAATCTCTTCTGGGTAGGCTGTCTCTTGAAAATAATGAAAAAGTGAAAGCCACCCTCATCAGCTCCTGCGCCGTCCCCTCTATGTTCCTGCGAGGAGGCCAAGGCGTTGCCTCCTGGGTCATTTGAAAGTACCCAGGGGAGCGTCCCCGCTGTGACTCACTGTCTGGCCAGCTGCCTCCTGGAACAGCTGAGAGATGTGGGCGGGCTTCCCAGCTAGAATCCTTGCTTGGGGATTTCCTGGTGGAAGCCGAGCAGGTGGCAGTACTGCTCCGTTCTGCTTCTGTGGAAGGGGTGGGTGGTCAGGAAGGGAGGCTCTGCCTCGAGGCCAAATGAGAGCAGCATCCAGACCCCTGGACTACACCGTGGTTGGTGGTTAGCAGTCAACCCCCCGCTGGAGCCCTGTTGGCACAGTGGTTACGCATTGGGCTGCTAATTACCAGGTCAGCAGTTCGAAACTACCAGCCACGCTGCTGGAGAAAGACCAATCCGGTCTTGGAAGCTCTACCTCTGTAAAGAGTTCGGGTCTTGGAGACCCACGGGGGCAGTCCGTGAGGATGCTGGGAGTCAGCATTGACTCGAGGGCCGTGAGTTTGGTCAGCCCACAGTGTCTTTGAAACCCACTCAAAGGAAGCAAAACAAATCGGCCCTGCCTGCAGTTTTCATGGGAAGTTGTCAGTCACTGGTTTTGACCAGGAGAATTGTATTTTGTAGTTCTCATTGCACGTTCAGATACAACAACCGGCTTAAGCATAACAATGGTTGGGGTGGTAGTGTTTCTTGTTTGTTATACACAGGGCTAAGGAGCCCTGGTGATATAGCTGTTATTCCCTCTGCAAGGTCAGCAGTTCGAAAGCCACCAGCTACTCCACAGGCGAAAGATAAAGATTTCTGCTTCCGTAGAGAGTCAGTGTCCGTTCTACCCTGTCCTCGAGGGTCGCTGTGAGTCTGCGTGGACTCCACACCCCGGAGTTTGGTTTGAGTTGGCTTACATGGGGCAGCTATGAGAGCAACAACCACAACCACAACAGCATGGCAACCCCTGAGGAGGGGTTGGAGCAGTTCTCTGGATTCTCCCTGCTTGCTCTCTCACCAATGGCTTTCCTGCTTCTGTGCCTGGTGATCTCGGATTGGCCGTTTGGGCTTGATTTTAATTTGGGAAAATTTGCTGGCCCCAGTGGATGTTGGGTTTCCCCCTCCTGAGAGCAGGAGGCGCAACTCCTTTATCTGGGTGGCTGCTCCCTAGAAACGGGCGACAAGCCCCTCAAGCCCCCCATGGGGCAGTGTTAGTATAGAGGTTGTACGTGCTCATCTGACTGGATTGCTCCCCCATATTCTTCCTAGTCCCCCCTTTTATCCTCACCTTTACCCATTAAAAAAAATAACTTTATTGGGGGCTCTTACAGCTCTTATCACAGTCCATTCATCAATTGTATCAAGCACATTTGTGCATATGTTGCTATCATCGTTTTCAAAACATTTTCTTTCTACTTGAGCCCTTGGTACCAGCTCCTCTTTGCCTCACTCCCCCTTTTAAGGGGACCTGCCCAGTTTTTCATGTGGTCCCTTGCAGTTTTGTTCTTTTGTTCAAAGCTTACTCTATGCCAGTGGCTGCCAGGAGTTCCAGAGAGAAAAGAAAGCACTGTTGTGGAATTGCAGGTGTTTTGTATATTAACATGCAAAAAGGAAAAATAGGTATGTCTTAAAAGTCAGGGTTCTGAGAATGTGAGGCATTTCCTTGGAAGAGAAGAAAAAAGAGCCACCTACTGCAATTAACTTTAAAGAAAAATGAATTCCACACGGGTCTAATTTCGTTCATATTGTGTAAAAAGATCTTAAGGAAATTCAAGTCTATTTTGAAATGTGGACCAGAGCTTTCATTTTTTTTTTTAATTGAAAGGTGCAATCTTATTAAAGCCTGTGTACTGCAGTGGACAATTGATAGGATTTTGGGATTGTGAAAGAGCTAACCAAGTTCCCTTTTTTTCACGTGCATTACCTTTGAAGCATCAAAGGCATAAACAGACATAAGAATTACTTGTAGTAATTTCCATCAGCCCAGCTTGAAGTTACCCACTAAGTACTTGAGCCTGGGACAGATGGCCTTGTGTGGGTCTGAGCGCTCTACATGATTAAAGTGATTGATTCGGTCTTCTCTCCTGGACATTTTATCTGGTTGTTGTTGAGGATAAACCCAGCAGGTGGACGACAAAGGGTGGACAGCTCAGTGATGGTCTTTGGAGCTGTGCCATCCTCCTCCCCCTCCCCCTGACCTGTTCCCCCGCAGCTCCCCCATCCGTTCACCATCTCCAATGGTGCCTTGTCTCTGCCTGCTGCTTCCTCAAGATTCACACCAAGCTCACTACCAAGGCGTGGACTGACTCATGGCCGCCCTCTGGAGCCTTTCAGATCAGTCGCACCTGGGTTCTCCTTGAGTTGGAATCCAAGGTGCGCAACCACAGCAGGTGTTAATAGCTAACAAGTGTTAACGGCCCATGTCATGGTTGCCTCTGGGCTTCCTGTTCCCTGTCTGTTCTGCATCAGCTCTGCCAGGGGCCGCAGCCCGGCATTTCCAACAGCACTGGGACACGTCTTCTAGCTGTGGCACAAGGGTCCGGATTGTCTCCGGTCCTGCCACAAGCCTCCTCGGTGGCCTGGATGTGGCCTTACACTCAGGGACCCAGGGGCGGAGAGAAGGGCTCTGAGCTAAACCCCAAGAGTCTCCTTGCACAGGTTCGAAGATTCACCCACCCTTCACACTGGGGTGGGTGACAGGGGGCCACATGCCCCCTCAGTAGCAGCCCCAGGCCCATCCTCTGTCGGCTCCCGCCAGGCCTTGCAGGCAGAGGCTCAGGCTCCTTTCAGAGCGCCCACCTGGTTCCCCAGAGGCGGACAGGGGAGCAAGGGGAAGTCAAGGTCCCTAACAGAGTTCTCCGCTGTGCAACTCACGGTGTGCTTTCTGGAAACAGACAGACGCGAGGAGAACAGATCCGATCGCTGGCCTAGCTCAGACAGGCAGGGCAGGCTGAGGGTGTCAGTGAAGAACTGGGGTGGAGGAGAAGGGCGGGTGAGTGGCGCCGTCTCTCAGCCACAGGGGAGCAGGGAGGGACTCCGGGGAAGAGGGTTCCTTTGTGAACAGGCAGGACCAGAGAGCTAGCCTGCTGCACAGACTGGCTGGAGTCAGCTGTCCCACGCCGGGGCCATTCCAGCTGCCATCCCGTGGCTTGTTTATATAGCCTGGTCCGCAGAGAACACGTGTCCAGGGAAGCAGCTCTCCGCTAGCGCTCGAGGGCAGCTGCTGGTGTGACCAGTGTGTGTGATGCCGTACCCCTGTGTGGAGCGAGCAGCTGCTTAATATAATAGGCTTACCTTTCCTGAGCACCACCAGCCCCTGGGGCCTTTGTCAGCATCCGAAGCCGAGAAGAGGCTGTGATTTTGTGTGTTGAAATGACCAGCGCTTGAGGCCAGCGGGCCTAACCGACGGCCTAGGAGTCAAGCTTGGGTCTGCCTTTGCTAGCTGATCATACAGTTTTTGTTTTATTTGTGCCTGTGATTATGTGCTGGGCTGCGAACCACCAGGTCAGCAGTTTGAAATTACCAGTCCCTCTGAGGGAGAAAGATGAGGCTTCTTGCCCCCGTCAAGAGTGAGTCTCAGACAGCCACGGGGCAGCCCCACCCTGCTCTCTAGGGTCTCTGTGAATTGAAAGGGACTCTGTAGCAATGAGGTGTTTTTTTAAAAAACCCTGTTTATTTGGACCATGTGTGTGCTGTAGTGTTAAGAGGCACAGCGTATTTATGCCATGACACACTGGGTGTAATGCCACTTACCATGGCTTGGATTCTGACCCCTGACCCCCCCAACCCGTCAGAGCAGAACCACACTCCACAGTGTTCTCAGTGGCTGATTTTTCCAAAGTAAAGTTCCAGGCTTTTTCCCTAAACTAGGCCTGCACTTTGCGCAGACCACCCCTTGTCTCTGGGGGAGAAAAGACCTGGTGGTCTGCGCCTGGCTAACCACAGCCCCGGAGCCCCCACGCTCCAGGGCAGACCTTAGCGAGCCCTCTGCTCAGCCTCTCAGGTGTGCGGAGCACACACCACGATGACCGTGGGCCTTTATTCCCTCCTAGCTCCCTGCCGGACATGTGTTCACAGGCCTCGGGGTGGTGTTGGGCGGTGCCGGTGCCGGTGCCCAGGGAGTTCTCCAGGGCAACACGGGACCACTGTCGTAGGTCAGAGGGTTCTCCAAATGCACACCTTTCAGAGGGGCTGCTCATCCAGGTTACACATGCCTCCTGTGATGTTGTGGTCCTTAGTGACCTCAGATTGGTTGCCTCGGGAGTGGCTTTTAAGTAGGACTCCATTCTTAGACTGATTGCACTGCAGCCTAATTGGAAGAGAGGCAAGGGACTGCACCACTCTAAGCAGAGGGAGGTGAGATACTTTACATATTTTGATGGAACTTTTATCAGGTCCTGCCTCTGACGGCACTCTGCCCGGTGCCCAGTGAGCAGACCCCGGAGTGGGTTCTAAGTGGAAGATGGAGCTGCTGTTAAAGGGGATTCGGGGCCCTTTCAGTGACGGCACCTGGGCAGCGCTTCATCAAGGGCTCAATCCATAGTTTCCCCAGCCGGAGGGTGGGAGCTAGCACACTGAAGGGGGACTCATTGAAAGGTTCCCAGAGGAAAGCACTGCACCCCAGTGAACTTTTATTGTGAATGGGAGATCCCGGGGACCTGGTTGGATGAGAGGCTTCAGGGTGCTGATGGAGGGGCCTCTGTTGGTAGACACAGCCGACTTGCCCCTCTTACGAGAATCAGAGGGACATTGGACTGGACATGACCCCTGACATGCACCAGTCGACTGTGGAAAAGCCTATTTGAACATACGTATTTAAACATGTATTTAAATATACATACTCAAAGATACATATTACAAACACTGCAAAGCCGTGAGTTAGCCACTGATGGGCACGTTCTAACCTGGAGCATGGGTAGAGGAGCCTTTGCCCACGGAAAGGTCAGAGGTTTGAGCCTCCTCAGAGGCTCTGTGTCAGAGCCTCCCAGGCTTCTGCTCCTGTAAAGAGGATGGTGAAGAAAGCCCCAGGGACAGTTTTACTTGGTCACACAGGGTCACTCTGAGTGGACACTGACTTGGGATACCCAACAGGAAGGTCTAGTACACGTTCCATCTTTTTTCTGTCTCCTTAATGCTTTTGTCAGGGGCTCTGACACCTCCCTCCCTCTCCCCCCTCACCAGCCAGCTTGAATGTGGGTAATGATTTTTAGCAGGCATTCTGCATATAAAATGCTCAGTCAGCACCATAGGCCACAGTTTAGTTAGCAACACAACAGCAAAAACCCACACATTGCCATTGGGCTGTTACTGACCCTTTGGCCGGTGCTCTTCCCCATGAGTTTCCCAGATTGTAACTCTGTACAGGAGGAGAAAGCCCATTCTCTCTCCAGCAGTGGTGGCTTCAAGCCGCACGGCTTTCAGCCAGCAGCCCCACGGGGAACCACTATGCAAAGTTCTGTTAAAGGTGCGTTGTAAGCACGATGATCTATGATGTAGAATATCGATGGATATTTGAACTAGCTGGAATTAAGGACTATCCTAGTAACTGTTAATAGCAACAGATGCATTGTGCTAAAATTCAAATGGCTGGGCAGAGAGAGAGAGAGAGAGAAGCGGGCACATTTGTTGGTTTCTATCAGGAGACACCTGGTGGTCAGTGTGATTTTTAAATGACCAGGCAAAGAAGAGAAGACAAAAACCCCAAACCAAACCCACATATCAACCCGCCCTGCAAAACAAAATAGTAGCTAAAGGGAGAAAAAGGGCTTTCCCATTAAATTGCTTTGCCTCAGTGACTTTTTGTTTTTCCTTATTGTAGAGGGTTTCCATTTGGGCTCAGGAAGTTGCTAGATATATATTTTTAAATTAGCTTGTTTATTTTTAAGTGTCACCTGCATATATCTATTTAAATAGCTTATTCACATTCATCACAGGTTGCAACCATCACTGTAATCAATTTCAATACATTTGTTCTTCCTGGTTCTCCTTGTGGTTAGCTCCCCATTTCCTGCCAGCTTCCCCCGTTAGGTGCCTACAGTTTTATTGAGCCAGCTGTTGTGTCTATCCATTTACCTACTCTGGGTTTCAGGTACAGAAAATCATAAAACATCAGGATAGCATACAAAGAAATGGCCCAGCAATAACACAGCAAAAGACCTCACCTGATGACAAAGCAGGGGATCTCAGAGCTGGAGCAGTTATACCTGGATCAAGAGGGAGATCAGTGACAAAGCGTACCCAGCCACCACAGTCACACACCTTCTAACGTCTCAGGTCCACAGTCAAAGGGGACTCCCCAGAGGCTGAATCTGCATGGGGAGCTCTGAGAAGTGTTTTGGGTGCTCACTTTCATGCACAGACTAATGCAAACAGTGGTTCACACTTTAAGCTCTCCCACCATTCCCTTCCCTGGATTTGGATTTTAGTATTTACAGTTCTTGGATCACACGAACTGGGGCTTCTTCCCTGTGGACTTAGCCAATACCTCATTTCGTTGTGTTTGAGGTTCCAGCACTTATTCGGAACCCCTCTCAGTAGGTTCCCCTTAGCTGCTTCTGTGGTTCCCGTTACATGCAGCAACTGTGGTCTCAAACCATGATGCAGACAATCCTGGAAATAACAATGTTTACACTTCAAATCACGCACAGTCCTGAGCAGTGCGTCAAGCTCTCCCATCGTGCTTGGGATACATGCCAGTATACCCCCCTCTCGGCCAGTTACTGACCCAGTGGTCAGCTCGGCCAGCCGACCAGTATCCCATGACTTATTAACCTCATTCTGTGTAATAATGGCTGTTTTATTGTTGGCTATTGCAGTAAATCTCTTCGTGTGCCTAATCAATACATTAATCTTAAGTAGATATATGTGGGTCTGGGAAAAAAACCAGTCCTAGTGTGGTTCCAGAAAACCCCTGGAGTCTTGGATCTTATCTCCCGACGACATGGCGGCAGCCTGAGATTTATGGTCCCAGCTATACAAGGGACTTCAAAAAGTTCATGGGAAAATGGAACGGGTGGATAATGGAATTTTCCCATGAACTTTTCCAAGACCCCTTATTTATATGTACTTGCCTCTTGAAATATGCTCGCTTTATTTTTGATTTTTCAGTGTCTTGAAATATATGGTATATTCACAGATGGTGGTTTGATTAGCTGACGACATGCATTCATTCGTCTCCCCCTCCTTCTGCCTGTTTCACAGGGAGTGAAGGAATGGAACATCGGTCACCTCAACACGATCCTGGATGTGGTTGAGGAAGAGTGTGGCATCTCCATTGAGGGTGTGAACACCCCCTACCTCTACTTCGGCATGTGGAAGACCACCTTCGCCTGGCACACAGAGGACATGGACCTCTACAGCATCAACTACCTCCACTTTGGGGAGCCCAAGTCTTGGTAAGTAACAGGTTTCCCTGTCATTTGCTTAAGACCCTTGACGTCAAGCAACACGAACCTCCCAGGGAAGACCTCTCTCGCATGGGTTGAGTTTTCCGTCAGCTGCAAGGTTTGGATGCAACCAACCCAGAAACCCCACAGGCACATTCGTGGGCCAGGCGTGGAGACCGAGGATTTGGTAGCATCTTCGGTCCTCTGTCACAGGCTGCAGGGAACGTCCTTTAGGAGTGAAAAGTTGATAGCTACAAGTTTCCCTGAGTGAGTGGAGGCTGCAGGAGAGGGGCGATTGAATCAGGAGGCCTGGTCATGTAGCGCTCTCTGTTGGCAGCCCCCCAGCCCCATCCTCCCGAGCCATGGCTTGGAGGTGCCCCTCTTCCCACAAAGCATGCTCCTGGCCCCTCTGTCACCCAGCTGCCACCTTCACGTCGAGCAGAGCGCTAGGGTGACACCCCCGGAAGCAGGATGTGCCTGCTGGGTGTGAACACAGGTGCTGGGAGCCAGCCCGGCAGCTCCATCTCCAGACGATGGCTTCCCTCCACTTCTGTCCACACAGAGACAGCGTAGCATTTCCTCCCCTGGCTTGAAAGGCTTTACCATTCAGGAAATGTCTGCCTCCCCCACCAAAAAACAAACAAACAGTGTTTGCCTGCCCCACCAACCAACCAAGCAACAAACAAACCAACCCAAACCAAAACTCAAACATGGCAAAAAGTGGTGATGAGAAACAACCTTTTTTTTTTTTTGAGAAACAACCTTTAATGAAGAGGAGCGTTCCAGGGAAGAGCAGTCCTTGGATGTAAAAGGAACTTCCCGCCAGTGTGCGCTTTCCTGCGGGGCCTTGTCACCCAGGACACAACCCGCGGGCAGCTGTTGAGCCAAGGGTTGTGCACGGAGGCAGGCCTCCTTCGATACATCCCTAGCACCCTGCTCTCAGCGAGCGAGTCAGGAAACCGCGTCCCGCCGTGGTCCAGGATGCACAGCCTGGGTGGCAGGCTGGTACGTGGGGCCACTTCTCACACAGCTGTTTTGTGAGGCCATTGGGGCACACACGTAGGCATGAGGGGTCACTTAGTTTGAGAGTCCATGAGAAATATTTCATTTATCTTTTTCTTCCCCTTCATTTTTTTTTGATTGTATGTTCGGTGGGTGCTTACACCTCAGATCTTTGTTCAGCCCCGTCTTCAACAGTGTAAACTTCTAAACAAACACCTCACCTTTAGCTTCGAGGTAGCTCACCCTGACAGCTTTCCTTCCCCTGCTCCTTGGTTTCACCCCCTTCCCAAGGAAGGCAACGAGAGAGCGTTCAGACGAAGCCCAGCCCCTGGGCAGTCTCCCAGTAGCACAGTTACCTAGAAACCATCTCGGAGGCTCAGATTCATCGTGGGCCCAGCGGATCGAAGCGGGCACAGCCAACACGTGGGTGACACCCAGAAAACCCTAGAAAGCTGGAACCCCGGGATAAGGAGGGAGGAAAATGCAAACATCTCCCACCAAGACGCATGGGTGGGAGAGGGGCCAGACTGCACACTGCATGCTAACCACTGGCTGGTGTCTGCGTCAGAAGTCTACCACGTTAGTAGCAGAGACACCTGGAGGTTTGTTAGGCCAGGCAGGCGGAGGCTCGTAAATCTGGGTGAGATTGTAGGATTGGAGAGTTCAGATGCAGGACGCCTACAAGACAGATGTTCCCCCGCCCACCCACTTGGGAACAGGATGTTGTTGTCTCCTAGGACCCTTAGGAGAGGGTGTCCTGGCCTCACTAGGATGAGCTACGTCCTAGAGGCGGGCTCTAGGAGGGCATCCATGGCCCCCGGGGCAGATATGCTGCCCCTCTCTAGGGTGTTTCTGTCTCCACTTTTAATTACTCCAGGAAGTGCTAAGCCGAGAGCTGCCATGATTTGCATTAGGGGCAGATTTATATCTCGGCCGTTATCCATAACCTTGACCATGATTTATAAGGATGAAATAGTAAAATGCCACTGTGAGCGATGACAGCTAATCTAGATTCTATTTCCAAGATAAGGGCGCTTCTCACGATGTTTCCCAGTAGCCCCGTGAAAGATGGCATTGCCTCAGCATAAATAATTTTGAGGTAAACCCAATTATCATTACAATTGATTTTAGTCACCATTATAATATGCCTGAATGGGGGTGTGAGTCAGCCAAGTCCAAGTGAATATTGGAAGGACTTGGTGAGGTCGGTCGTGTTTGGAAGGGCGGGGGGGCAGGGGGTGGGTGGTGGTAGACAGCAAACCCTCCACTCTGCTTCTGCCTCTGACTGATGGGGGTGCTTGCAGTATGTTTGCACCCCGGTCTCTGTGTGTCTGAGCCCCTCCCTGAGTTGACCCTTCAGCGTGGGTTGGTGGCTTCTCCTGCCCACGTCCGCACCCCTGGTTTTTCCTCTTTCTCGTGGGGTCTACTGTTCAACCTTCCTGGCCCTCGGTCAACCCTCTGACTGAGTTCTTCTCTCAGAGAGCAGCTGCTGCCCCATTCCCAGGGCCTCTCCCCTCTCCCTGGCTGCCCCAGGGGCGCCTGTAGTGGCGGTAGACCATGTGCTTGCTCTGCCTCAGGTGGTAGACCATGTGCTTGCTCTGCCTCAGGTGACCGGCCGCCGCGGGGTCTACTGTGAGTCTTGTCCACTGTCCGTGGACAGAGTCAAGCGCTGTCTGGCTCTCTTCACCTTCCTTGCAGTGGAGGGCTTGGTCTGCAGGCTCTAACCCAGGGCTGTGGTGTTCTTACCATTCGGTGCATCTCCCCGGGAGGTGGGATGAAGGTGGGGGTGAGGGTCTGCTTCCCTGGTCAGCCCCCTGATCTTCTCCCCCAGCGGCTGATGCCTCTGTGTCCTATGCCCAAAGCCCGTGAGTCATGAGTTTTTATCGACCCCAGGTCCTAAGTCCCAGTCTGTCTTAGTTTGGAAGCACCCTGAAACCTGTCCTTCATGGGTGACTGCTGGTATTCAAAATACCAGTGGCAGAACGTTCCAGCGTCACAGCAACATACAGGCCACTACTGTACCACACTGGCAGACTGGTGGTCGCCTCTGACATCCTGAGAATCCCCTGCTAGCGAGGCAGTATCAGCTCATAGCAACCCTACGTACAGTTCCTGAGATTGTACATCTCCACAGGAGAAGCCAACCTCAGTTTTCTCTCTCAGAGCAAGCATCTAATGGGGTTACACTGCCAACCCCTAATGCCCAGTGCCCAGGCCACCCTTAGCCTGATTTGTAGCACACACGTTCTCTTCCCGGGGCTTGTTGAGGTCAGGGACCATGTCTTCCGTTGCATCTTGAAGGTCTGGCTGCAGCGTTACTACTCCCCAGAGAACTCTAGTTTTGAATCAGGAGAGTTAACACTCTTAGCTCAATCTGTTCAAGCCCTGGCGGTGTCGAGGTTCTGTATTGGCCTGGTAACTTCAAGGTCAGCAGTTCAAAACCACCAGCCACTCTGGGAGAAAGACGGACTTTCTACTCCCATAAAGAATTACAGCCTCGGAAGCCCCCAGGGACAGTTCTACCCTGATCTACAGGGTCTCTGTGAGTCAAGAGTCGTGGATGACAGTGGGTTTGGTTCAAGGGCAGACAGGGAGATGGATAGAACATTGTCTGGGGGTGACTGTCTGAATGGAGCGACTGAGAGCAGCTCGTTTCCCGGGCAACTGCAGTGTGTTCAGTCCTGGGGGCAGTGCTGGGGGTGGTAAGACCTGTGTGTGGCAGCCTGGCCGGTGAGTGTTCTCACCTGGAGCCCCGATTGCAGAGCCTTTGGGGCACCGGTGATTATTTAAATTGAAATGTATTTAAAATTTCTGGCCGAGGGCTTAAGGGAAAAATAAGTAAGCAGATAAAAGCTCCTTTAGCTGTCAGTAGTAAAGTGCTTCTTTCCTTCGGATGCACATTGGCTTTGGAGCCAGAGGACCTATTTGCAAACCCTGCATCTGTCACCTCCAGCTGGATGACTTAGGGCATGTCCCCACCCTCCCTGCCCCCCGTTCCTCTGTCAGACGGGGGCATGGCCACTGTGAGCATGGCCAGATAGCCTTTCTGTCTATTGCAAACTGGCCAGTGGCCTCGAACCACTGACCTTGATGTTCGTGTTCAGCGTGCACTTCACTTATAAATATGTGAAGGAGCTTCAAAAAGTCCGTGGGAAAATGGCATTATCTTTCAATTCCTTCACTCTACTTTCCACGGACTTCCTTCCCTCCATCGTGTTGAAGCAGGCTCTGGGGCTCTGCTACGTAGTGTCCCGGCTATCTGTACAGCTGTGTGAGTTCTTCAGTCGTCATCAATCTAGAGTTCTCTTGAAGGTTCCCTATGGATACAGGGCGCACGGGTACATCCCGCGATGCCTGGGAAAGGCTTGGCCTGCTGTGTGCATGAGAGGTTCCACAGAGCTTACAGAGACCCATTAGACACTTGCAGACACTATCGGATTTCTAGTGGCTAAGCAGCCAGCCCAAAGGTAACACAGCCAGCCCTTGTGAAGCAATCCGCCCTCCCTCCTTTCCTCCCAACTAGGACCTCGTTGCCAGTTGATGCTGGTCCAGAGACCCGTGAGCTGTTTGAGGATGCAGGCCAAAGTCTCCTGGAGGTTCACTCACGGTGGAACGCTGTCTTTCCTCGAGCACTTAGCTGTCAGCGATACAAATAAAAACAAACTCACTCACTGCCAGCAAGTCACTGCTGACTTACAGCGACCGCGTGGGTTTCTGAGACGGTGTAGGCTATCTGAACTAATTTCCCGGTCAGATACCCCACTAACAGTCTCCCCTCCAACCCCCATCATGAAGGGGGGGCACCCCTCCTGGGCCTTCAGCTCTAAGCGGTCTCCATCTGCCTGCCCAATGAAGGGGACTCACGTTTCTTAGGAAATGTCAAGTGGTAGCAGACACCCTTGGCCATTGATAGCTTCCCCAAGACACCCCAGGGCGATTTTCTGCTCCCCCCGTTCTGCACTGGTAGCTTGCTTTGTCTTTGGATGGCTCACAATGGCTTTTGAAAGGCCCTCAATTCTCTGAGAAATTTCCTCAGGAAGCGTGTCAGGAAGCCGCGAGGTAGTTTTCCCGCCAAGATTGAACTTCAGTCGTCACAGGGAATCTCTTGGAAAAATGCTTCCATGTTTGGTGGGGGTTAATTGCCGGCTGCACCACCAACCAGCTGTAATGGAAGCCTGCGTGACCCGTCCTCACAGTCGTGCATTTGAAGAAGTGATCCCCCTGCGCAGAAGATTTATACGAAAGGCAAAGATTGCATTTTGTTGAGGAAATTGATCTTTAGATAATATTTGATAGAGACAAGCGGGTTTAGATTTTCGCAAATAGGTACATAAAACGACAATTTCCACCAATAGGAAAAAGAAGACAAAAACAATGACAAAAACAAGTTTACGGAGCTAGGCCCGGGGGAGGGCTAGCCTGCGTAGGTCACCGAGGTCTCACGGCGCCTCCACTGACCCTCACTCAGTAGGCAAAGTGTCACTTTGGATCGCCTTGTGTGATTAAGTCAGAAGCCTTGGTCAGGCATGAGGGATCCTGGTCGGCACCCCCTTGGGAATTGGCCCTGGGACAGCTTTGGTGGCCGGGCCTGGGAGCAGCAGGGAGGCCGATTTGTGCTGCTACAGGGAGGGCAGGTTGCCACCAGGCGGGGTATGGTCCCCTGGCAAGCGTGAGGCATGGCTCATCTCTCCTCTAGTCCATTGGTGCTGGTCTCCCCAAAAACCAGGGCAGGAGGGTGTGGATGTACATTGGGGGCAGGGGGGCACCAGGACAGTCAGCTGGGCTCTCTCACCTGAGCGAGGTACATTCGACTCCCTCAGCTCCTTTCCCCTCCCTCCCAAGCATCCATCCAGTGAGGGACCCAAAGAACTTGGGTGGGATAAGTGTGGGGTGCTCTCTTGACCCTGAGTGGTCTTCCTGCCCCGGGGCCCAGAGCACCCTGCCCCGCACAGCCCCTAGGCTGGGGCCCACGGCCCTCTCGAGGCCTGAGTCTGGGGCAGAAAAAGTGATTCCTCTTTGAATTGGAGAAAGAGGTTTGCAGAGAGCAGGGAAGGGGGCAGCCAGAAGCTGTAAGCATGGAATCCGATGGACGGGAAAAGGGAAGTCCGCATATGAAAAAACAACGCAGGAGAGTTCAATGCGCTACAGAAAGAGCCCGTGGGCTCTGTGGCCGCAGACTCGTCCCGTGTGTGTCACCAGGGCCCCGGGCCGCAGGCAGGCGGTGAGAAAGTTGCATTATCTTTTATCTCCATCGATCTGAGGCTCCCGGTAGCTGTGGGAATATGGAGCCTGGGGTCACGCTTCCCAACTCCTACCAAAATAGAAAGTTACTATATTTACTAAGGATGGTGGGGTTTTTCTTTGCCCCCTCCCTGCTTTAGGAGCGTTTGACCCTCTTAGGAAGTGTTACCCCTGTGTACACTGATTTATGCTGTCTTGATTTCTTCCTGTTTATCCTTTAAATGTTCATGGAGCGCCCAGCAGTGTCGGGCCAGGAGCACGGGGCAGTGGTGCCCCCTCAGTGGGCAAGACCCTCCCCCCCCTTCTCAGCCAGTCACGGTGGCAGCTCGGCCTGTGCTCACCCCTAAGCTTCAGTGGAGTAAAATCTCCAGAGGAGCGCACCCCCATACTCCTCTGGGAGAGCGCTGGGCTGTAAGCGAGGGTGGACTTTTTCGGTGAACTTTGTGTAAATGAGAAACCCTCGGGTGAGCAGGACACACACAGGCTTTTCTCCTCACCACCTCCTTCCAGGAGACACCGACGGCAGGGAGCTCCGGGAGCCCGGGAGGGGGCCACGAAAGCCCGTTCTCTCCCCACCATGCCTTCTCGTTCTCGCTGCGGCGTGTTCCTAAGGACTGGAAATGAAATAAATAATGTGCCTCTTCTCACCGTTAGCTCGTGAGACTTCCTCCTTTAAACTGTTCGTGCTCGAGCTTCCATACATGCAGGGTGTCAGAGCTTGCTAGTCAACAGCATCCATAATGACGTGGCAATGTTGCAGGACCGCAGGTAGAACCCACATGGCTTGCTCAGCCTCCCCGCCCCCACCCACTCAATTGATCAGTAATTTATATCCACATGGGCAATTTGCAAATTCAGAAAATTAGGGCTTTTTGAAATAAAACATTGGTACTTTACTTTGGGATGCATGAATTTTTTTCCCTATCGAGACCAAAGACCAAAGAAACACCGTGTAGTATTTCAATGGCTTTTCCTCTCTATCTGTAACCCACTTAAAATATTGTCATCTTTGACTTGGGACGTGCTGTGATTTTTTTTCCTCTGTGATTTTTTAACAGTGATTGAAGGGTAGGAGGAATGGTGGAACAGTGTATTTTGTGGCTCTTGGGACTTTGTGGGCTAGGTGGTTGGGCTAGGTGGTGGGCCCCACAGTTGGTGGTTCAAACTGCACTGCCCTGCACACCTCCTTAGCTGGGCGGGCTGGCCTATCCAGACCTGAGTCTGGGGCAGAGAAGGTGATTACAGTCTCAGAAACCCTAGGGGGGCAGTTCTACTCTGCCTTCTAACCGGCTCAGTACAAGTTGGAATCAACTACATGGCTGTGGGTTTGGCATGGTTGATTATTCTGAATGGTGGCATCCCTCCTCTCGCTGCCCCCCCAATGCTTCCAGAATGGTCAGTGGACATTGTCGTGCCCAAATGTACCCAAAGGGGGTGGGGTGGGATCATCAGCCCCGCCGCTGTCCACAGAGAAGCAGTTCAGAGTGGTCCGAGCGGTTCATAAGACCACGCTGGTGCAGGCCAGGCAGGTTCCGCCTGCCTGCTGGCTTCTATAGACCAAGCATGTGACCTTGGTGCCCTTTCCTTATCCGTGCATCACTCTTGAGTCTCTGCCTCCACCTTTCCTGTGCCTGCCTCTCCTTTTTATGAGGGCATCGGTCCTTCTTCACTAGAACCCACACAGTGGGCGCACACACACAGTGGGCCTACGACTGTGAGGCTGGCGCAGGACTTTTCTGCTCCCCCCGTTCTGCACTGGTAGCTTGC